GGTAGGCAGAGATTTCTTGGACAGAACACCAAAAATGCACAAATTATACAAGAAAAAGTTGATAAATTGGACTTTATCAAAATCTAAAACTTCTGCTCTTTATAAGATACCAGTAAGAAATCAAAAGACAAGACACAGACAAGGATAAATTATTGCCAGTACTTTCTGACAAAGGATTTGCATCCAAAAAATGTAAAGAACTCTTATCATTCCTTAATAAGTATTATTATTCTTATTACAAATAATGAAATGATATTGAGATGACCAATGTACACATGAAAAAAATGTACAGCATGCCATTTGTCAATTGAGAAATACAAATGAAAACCATGATAAAATACCAATACATACTCACTAACATTGACATGATTAAGACTGACAATAACTGACAAGAATATGGAGCAACTAGAACTTTCATACACTTACTGTGTATGATGGTACACTCACTTTGGAAAACTGGTCATTTTTTGTAAGTTAAACATATACCTACCTTATGATTCAACCATCCAGTCTTACATAATTATACAAGAGAAATGAAAACATATATTCTCAAAAAGAGATGCATATTAATTTTATGCCAGTTTTCTTTGGAATAGCTTAAAACTGGAAATAACCTAAATGTCCATCAACTGATGAATAAACAATTTATGGTAGAGCCATACTATGAAATACTACCCAGCCATGGGACCAGTAGTTGACATAATGGCTATGTCACTGGACTCTCATGTAGTCAACCGTGGTTTGAGTCTCGGACCCAGAGGCTTAAACTCACGCCAGGGCCGTGTGTGTATGTGTGCCCAAGATCCTGAGAGGAGAATGGAGGAGAAGGGATTGGGTTGTGGCCATCCCACCCGGAGGGTGATTTCTCGCTTTCTGTCTCTCTGTCTCTCTCTGTCTTTCTGGTGAGCGCATGTGCCCTATAGGCAAAACCTCTCCCAAAAAAAGAAAAAAAAAAAAGAAAAAGAAATACTACCCAGCACCTCCCCCCAAAAGAAACAAACTATCAATATATGCAACTACATGAATAAATCTCAAAAACACTATGTTGAACAAAAGAATCCAGGCACATGATTCCATGCATTTGAATGTCTAGAACAGGCCATTCTAACTATAATGACAGAAAACAGAGAAATGGGATTGCCTGAGGCTGGTGGGGGGGATTGGCTGCAATGGAGCATCAGAAGTCTTTTGGGGTGATAGAAATATTCACATAGTAATTGTGGCCACCACAAGTGTGTTACACAGATATATACAAATGCACTACACAGGTGCATACAAATACAAATGTGCTACACAGGTGTATGCAAATGTGTCATGCAGCTGTATACAAATGTGTTACATTTGTTGAAACCCAAGTTGTGCACTTAGATGCATGCATTTTCTTTTATGTAATAAGGAATTTTTAAAAATGAAAGTATGCTTTGTTCCTTCAATGGAACCACAATAATGATACCTCCACAGCCCAGGAGAGGGTTAGAACCCCAGTGACCACTGACAACAAGCCTGAATGGAGCACTTAGTGTGTACCACCCACCCAATAGGCCTTTTCATTGTCTCATTTAAGTTGCATGCCACCTTTAAGATGGGTGTTATCATCACCTAAAACACAGCAAGGATCTGACATCCATGAAATCACACCGGCGAAGTTGGGACTTAAACCCAGGAGTCATAAACTTCTCTGTACTGTCCCTAGAGAAGAAAGAAACCCATCCAGTACAGAGGCCACACATTTAAAAAGCCCCACCAGAGTCAAGTATGATGGAGAAAGTTGCATCCACAGAAACTATTTCTACTCACAAAGTCATTGAGACGACTTAAAGATGGGATGGAATGATGGGGCCTGTCATGTACCCACTATCCCAAAATGCAGGCTGTGCCTGTTTTACAAAACACCACAGAGTTAGCATTTGTAGAGTAAATTTCTGGGTAATCCTAGATTTTTGGATCCAGGACAGGGCCTGGTAGGGTTAGGGAACCTGAGGATCTCCAGGTGCTCAAGACCCTGGAGACAAGTGACTTGACCAATGACAACACAGAGAGTGTCCCAGGATCAACTCAGCCCCTGACCTCTGGTCCACCTCCTGTCCCTGTCACGATGCTGTCCACCGAGAGCCCAGCTGACAGCCCAGCAGGGCTCAGTGCATCCTGTCTCACCAGTGAGGTCCGAGAAGAAAGTCCCTCCCCAATTCCACTATGACCCAGAGGGCCTGAAAGGGTTAACCAAGCAGAGGAGAGAGGCTACCCCTCAGCCCCTGCAGCCTCTCTGCAGCTGCTATGCCTCTGGGGAATCTCATAGCATTAACTCTGTTCCCTGTAGGGCAAAGAGCCCAGACTGGAGACAGGACCTGGTTTCTATCCCGCCTCCTCCACATTTGCTGCGTGACATTGGGTAACTCACTGAGCCTTTCTGACCTCAGTTTTCTGTACCTATATCCTAGGTTCAGGAATGGCTCTGAGGATCGGAGGACAGAAGGGGCTTAGGAGAAAGTGGTCCGTAAACTTACTAATGACTTAGAACTGTAATTATCACCATCGGAACCAGCTGCAAAGCAGCTGCTGGCTCATATGGTTACGGATGGGGATGACCTCCTCTGAAAATGGGGACAGTAATGCATGACCTGTGTGAAGCAGGGGGGTGGACAAGAGATCTTTTGGGGGTCACTTGATCTCTGAGATCTATGAAATCTGTACTTCTATGATTTTGAAGACTGAGTTCACCAAAATTGGCTTCGCCTGCGCTCTTAATGTTTGAATTGTCTTTTATCAGGACACCGAAGCACTTCCTCTTCTACTCAGAAATGAGACTTCACACGCGAGTGACCCGGGGAAGGGAGAAGCACATGGCCTCACAGTCTCACCGCCATGTGGATGCCTGACAACAGATTTCTTCAAGAGAGCAACTTCTGATGGGAAGCTGGGAGATCTGGACACTGAGTCACAAGTTTCCTCAGCCAGAGCTCAGCCCTAACCCCGACTGTTCTCTAAAACCAAATGCTTAACAAGGTACCAGTTGTAGCTTATTCTCCGAGCATCTGTCCTGCTCCCCAGACTGGCATCGTGATGGTTAGAGTGTCCTTGGCCAGCTCTGCCACGCTGGGCTTGCCATCTAGAAAAGGTGGCCCTAATACTCACATGATCCCCCTCGGCTCTGACCCAGGCCTAACTGCCCATGTCCACTCTCCTTTCCAAATTCGAATCCTTTGCGCTGTTATCAACTCCTTTCGCCCCTTCCAACACAGCAGCCAGGGTGGTCCAGACTCCCTAGAGCCTCTCTCCTCCCCCTCTCCTGACTCTCACCCCTAAGCTCAGCCATAAAATCTAAGCAAGAAGAGAATTGCAAGACTTAGCTGGTCTCCAAGAGGCTATAGCTACCATTTGTCTACCCCCTCCATTCCGGCTCAGAAACTGTCAGGTTGGGGCACCAAGATACAGATTTTATTCATGATAATCATCACTAGCGTTAGTTGAGCATTTACTACATGCTAGACACTGAAGTACTTTACACATACTAACTCAATCTTCTTACATGATAGGCACTGCTATCCTCATTGTATAGAGACGGACTGAGGGACAGTGAGGTTGATTAAGTGACCTGGCCAAGGGCGGTCAGCTAGCAAGTGACAAGACAGAACCCACAGTGTGCATCTTGCACATTATCTCCTGCCTGAGGGGCAGGAGCGATTCCTTCAAGCCTGAACTCCTTGGGAAACAAACCTCACCATGTGCACTGTGCTTGGAGGGGTCGCTAAAGGCGCATCGCAGCAAGTTCAGCCTCTTCTTTGTACAAAAGGAAAAGCTGAAGCCCAGAGACCAATTTGTCGTCCCAGGTCACCAGTAAGCTGAGCCTAGAGCTAGGGTCTGGGCTGCCCCCCCCCCCCCCTGGTATATTTCAGGGTAGGCCACTGCCCACAGCTAAAGACATGTTTTCACCAGGGGTCATGACCTGGAAATTAGGCTCATGTGTGATGTCCCAGACCCTGTACACTCCTCCCCCGGCAGCTTAAGAAGCCTCTAGCAGGTCACTGTGGTACTTTTTTTGCTTTTGCTGAAGTCAGACCCTAAATGTCACCCTGATTTGGGCAAAGATCAAATTAACAGACTCCATACTTGGGAGTGGGTTTTGGGTGGAGGGTGGGTAGGGGTCTTCCTACCCGTGATTCCTTTTGCCACCCCCAACCCACTGCAATTCAGGGTCAGAGAAGGGAGTCGCAACTGTCCTCTGGCTTTCCTTCCACGCATTCCCCTCTGCCCTCTGCCCCAATGCCCCAGGTGTCACCCCAGCGCAGTCCTTTTCCAACCGTGTACACCCACCCTCCCAGTGGACCCCTCTCATTCTTCCCTTCATTCTGAGAATCCACCCTACCCAGGTCTGAGACTTGGTCGGTTTTCCCAGTGCACAGTTCCCTTTCTCTTCTCCAGTGGACTCTGCCACAGTTCCCCTTGGATCAGCGTGATCCCCTGCCCCTGGCCCCGATAACAACCTGTCCCCACCCAGCGACGCAACCCTCTTGGTCTCTGCTCCGCAGGGCGAAGGGGAAGGACTCCGGGGCAAGAACGAAAGCTAGACAGAGCCCAGGACGGGGGCAGACAGGACACCCAAGTGGGGATCCGGAGAGGGCACCTAATAGCGAGACTGACATCGGACAGGCAAGGACACGACGCGCTGGGGCGGACCGGGCCAGGGTCAGAAGCGAGAGCAGAGTCCAGGAGCTTGGGCTAGAGCCCGAGACGGGGAGGGGCGAGGACAGCGGCGGCCGAAGGATCAGAGACGGATGCTAGAAGGTGCGATCAGAGAGGGTCTGAGCTTGGCAAGCCAGAGAGGGAGCTCCAGGCGCAAGCTCCGACCGCAAGGTGGGCTGGGTCCCGCAGGCGCTGGGGTCTGAGCGCAAGTCGCTGGGATGACACCTGGGGGCATTGTGGAGAGACCGCGGAGGGAAAAGTTGGCCCCACCGCAGCAGGAGGAGGAAGGGGCGCGGGCCGGGGACGCGACGAGCACTGACCCGAAGTAGGCGGCGGCGGCGGCTGCGGGCAGCGCCAGCAGGCAGAGCGCGGCCAGGGCCAGCGCGGGCGGGGGGCGCATGGTGCCGGCGCGCGGCGCCCTCTAGCATCTCCTCGCGCTGCTCAGCGCTCGCAGCGCCGCCACCAGCCGCCGCGGGGCTCCCCCGGGGGGTAAGCCCCTGGCCCTATTGGCCCCGTCGTCCTCGCCCCGCCCCATTGCGGGTGGGGCCGCCCACCGGGCCCGCCCCCGCCCCGCCTTCATCTCTCCCTCCCACGCGCTCCAGGTGAGAGCTCACCTGGCGCCGCGCCTGTCCCAGGACGCAGCGATGGAACGTGAAGCCCGCCGGGCCTGGAGAGGCGGGGGTGGGGCACCGAGCGGGGATGGAGGCGATTCTGCCTCTCTGGGGCGGGTTTGAGGGACGCAGAGTCTCTCCTCCCAGGTAGAGGGTGGGGGCATAGGAGAGACACACGCCTGGACTCCGCAGAAAATCCGTCACTGCCGGCCCTCCTGCCCGGCGGGCGCGGGTCTCTTGGCGCAGCCCCGGGGCCCTTGGAGGGCAAGGACGACTCCTCAGGCACAGCCGCTCTCCCGAAGCAGCAAATGCATCTCCAGTGGCTGACGTGACCTCTGCCCCGGCAAAGGGAGTGGGAGGGGGAATCCATTGGTCAGAAGCGAAGGGAAAAGAGCACCGTTTTTAAACGGGAGCCTGGTTGTCGCAGCGAGGTGCACAGCGTGGTCCTCAGTGGGCGTTTGACAACGTGCGGATGTTGACTGGCACTGAAATCCACTCCCTGGGCAATGGGACGGACAGAACCACGGGCAGGAGAGGAGGGCAGACCCTGCTTTCCAAGATGTGTAGATGCCAACCCTGGCAGGATGGGAGCTTCAGCGTTGGCCCTAAAGCTTTGTCTTGCTGATTCTTTTAAAAAGTTTAACCGGTCCCAGCAGGTGGCATGGTGGTTAAGGGCAGTGAACTCCCACATGGCCCACTGTGGTTCAAGTCCTGGACCTGGCAGCTTACTTTCTCACTTTCTCTCTCCTCTCTCTCTCTTACTCTGTCCCTCTCTGGTCAAATTAAAAATAAATAAATTAATAAAATAAAATAAAATAATTAAAAACAAAGTTTAACCGATTCCTGAGAAGGTGCAATGATCAAAGCAATGGGTGGTGCTGGTCTAGGAAGGAGACATATAGCAAAGACCCAAGTGAGATTTAAAATGTTTTCGAGAGTCTCACACATTGGGTTAGATCAAGCAAAACAAGATGTCATGAATGCAGAGACCTGTGTGTAAAGTTTCTGGAAAACCAGCCATGCATATAGAACACCAAGTGGCAGTGACTTTGGCTGTGCAATGGACACTAGCATGATGGGAGGAGGGGAGGCCGGGGAGAGGTGTTGGGAAGGCAGCAGCTAGTGGCAGGCAGCCTTGGCAGGCAGGAAGCCCAGGAAGCCCCCACGGGAGCCTCCTGGAAATGTCTGTGTCAAATCATCACAGCGATTGGATGATCCATTGATCTGTAACAGCTCTGCCAGCCCTATCAAATCTCAGGTTCTATTTATTGGACCACATGGCCCAGTAGTGAGGTGCAGAAACCTGGGGTCAAACCATGTAAATTAAGAGCCCTGGATATGGGGCCAGCAGGTGAGGTAGTGGTTAAGATATGGGATCTGACATGGCTCAGTCTGCAGTTTGAGTCCCAGCCCTAGTGGCTTGGAAAAAAAACCCAAAAAAACAAAAAAACCCCACTGGCCGTGTGTGTGTGTGTGCGTGCCCACACAAAATCCGGAGTGGAGAATGGAGAAGAGATTGAGGTGTGGCCATCCCCTGGAGAGTGACATACCACTGTCTTTCTCACTGTGTCCCTCTCTGGTGAAGCACACATACCCTACGCTTGAAAAAAAACTTAAAAAAAAAAAAAAGATTTAAAAGCCTCAGATAAAAAGTGGGGTTGGTGACAAAAACTCGCGGGTTTTGTACAGATGAGATGTCAATGTCCAGCAAGTGCGGGAGCTCAGGATCAGTGGTTGTGCTGTAGGCAGGCCCATGTGCTAGTATTTACAAGGGGTTGGGGTGTGCGGGGGTGGTGGTGTATAATACAATAATAATTTGTATTATTTGTTGATTTAGTTTTTTTAAAAAAGAGGCTAATTTTTCGTTTATTATTATTATTATTATTATTTTTAATTTGCAATGGGGCTTGTGCGCTCACCCAAGAGGGAATGTGAGAAAGCAAGCTGCCAGGTCTGAGGCTGGAGTCATGGTCAGCATGTGGGGATCCAATGCCTTACCCACCACGCCACCTGCTGGCCCCTCATTTGTTGATTTCTGTGCTGCCCATGTTCCCACCACCACCCATTTCAAGCTACCAACATGACACTATCTCTGACAACTAGAGTTAGGGAGAGATGTGTGCAGCCGGCTCTGTCAGCCGCTCTGCCAACTCCAGTGGACCACTGGACAAGAGCCCAGAGCTGGACCACCGTAAGTCAGAGAGGAGGGAGAGCCATAGACTGGGGTGGTAGCGATCCCGCCAGGCCCCAGTGTTGCCCCATGGGCAGGTGAGGCAGTGTGGGCAGGTGAGGAGGAGCTAGGTCCAGCTGGGGCCACTCCAGTCGCTCCTCCTGTCCTCATGGCTGTAATACACACAACCGTGTGCATTGGGAAGGTAGGGGTTGGGAGAGCACACTCCCCCAGTGGTCCATCATCAACACTCGGTAATGGTTACTGGTTGGGAAGACGGCAGCTACGGTGTGAGTTTGGAGGAAGCTCCAGAGATTCGATGGAGACTTCAGTGCTCAGAGAGCAAGAAACAGAAAACATGTAGATGGATGCTCTTAAGCGCCCTCAGCCAGTGGCATGGACCTCGCCTTTGGACTCCTTCCTCTTGGTGTCCATCTGCTGAGTGACCCCCAGCTCACCCACAAAGGACTGAGTGCTGCTTCTATCTACTGTGCCAATGGGCCTTCACGAAACTGCTCATGTGACAGCTCCTTGTTAATAATTCCAACACATGCAACTTCCATGTACAAAGCTGTGTGAGTGTGTGTGTGTGTGTGTGTGTGTGTATGTGCATGCCAGGCCTGGCCCAGCACATAGTCTCACTGAAGCCTCAAGCGCCCTGAGAGGCTGGAGCAATATTATCTTTATTGCACAGATGAGGAAAACTGAGGCTGGGAGAGGAGCAGCTGGTGCAGGAGGTCCAACACAGTAGTGGAGGCAGGAGTTGCACACTGCCCCAGACTAACTGCTGGCACTGGCCGTGGCTCCTGACTGACTGTGGCTGGCTCAGGGACACCCAGGCATAGCCTGAGTCACAGCAGCCTCCACATTATATGTCCTTAGAGAGCATCACGCACCCCCACGTGCTGGCCCACGAGGGACTCATAGTCAGGAACGGGAGATGGTGGTGAAAAGAGGTCAGCCCTGCAATTGTGTGGCAGGATCCCTGAGGATATTTCAGCCTTGTGGCATGAGTGGTTTGTTGCTCTGCCCACCTCTCCCTCTGCCGTGAGCTCCCCAAGAAGGGCCTGAGTACTTCTGTCTGTGTCCCCAGAGCCTGGCACAGGACTCAGCACAGAGTAGGTGCTCAGGAAACACATGCCAGCTTATAACCTCGGTCTGTGGCCTAGTTATGGGCTGCGGAGATACAAAACGTCAAAGACTACAATGCCTGCTCAGAGAAGCACTCCCTCTTGCACTATCAGACACATGGTCCACAGGGCGAGCGCGCGCGCGCGCGCGCGCACACACACACACACACACACACACACACACACACTACAGCACAAGTCCAGGCATTCTGTGGCACACAGACTCCCACCCCTCCCCCATGGTTGTCTAAATTCCTAGGCAGCCCGCAGCTGCTCCTGGATCCACACGCTCACACAGGTATGCAAAAGAAGCATTCTTAGACATCCACATGCAGTTACCTGTCTCCGTTAACCAGCCCGAGGCAGCCACCACTCAAGGATGGAGTCCTCCCCTCCCAGCGTGTGTGCACGCATACACACTCACACACATACATTCATACATGTACTTTGGAGGTCACAAACACAGACGGAAAGCCTTGCAGTGGCTGCACGCAATCCACTCTCCTCCCCACGCCAGCCTACTGCCTAAAGCAAACCCTCAGAAACCATCCACTCTTGTCTGTCCCCAGGTCCCCTGTGCCTCCCAGCTCTAGACAGAGCTGCACTCAGAAGCTCCTCTGAGCTCACACCACGCCATGAGTGAGCACAGATGCAGCATTCCAGGAGAATGGACTAGAAATGGACTCTGGACCTGACAGGACATGGAGCAGGTGATGCCCTGGGAGCTCCAGGTGAAGGCACCCGCACTTGTGCAGACCCAAGGCACAGCTGCTCAGGAAGGCTGGTCCTGGGGGAGTCCTGGACAAGACGGTGGAGGTTTGCTCACCTGTCCCTCTCTCTCCCTGTCCTTCTCCATCCTCCCTGTGACCTGGCCTGCTTTGCTGTGGCCCCACCGTGACTGTCCTGACCACTCCCAGCAGCCCTGTCCCCACACATGCGACGCT